TGCCCCTGCTGCAGGATGTGACTTCTTGCTACACCATGTTTGTCTGCCCTTCCCTGCAAATTGGAATGAAAAGCTTTGAAAAAGCCCTTTAGAAGTCTAGAGTGACAATGATGTTTAAAAATTCCATTTGATATTTTGGCTAGCTTTGATGTTATTGGTCCGACTTGGTAATCCTCATGCCTGCCTTCTGGCCCTGAACCTGTCATCCCCTCTGCAGAAGTCTAGATAAATAAAGGCAGGATTTATGTTTGGGTAAAGGATTATCTCCTAATACTCCTTTAGATCTCCTAATGTAAAGGAGTTTGGTTTTTCTCCTCGCAGTGTTTTTGGATTCCTAACAGGTGTTCATGCTACAGAATTGTAACCAGAGTTTAGAGAAAGGACAGATGTAAAAAATAGATGCTATAAAAAAGAGGAAGAAGAACCTCCAAGATTTCACTGTTGACTTGAGAAACAAGACAGCTGTTAGATGCATCTGCTTTATTTTGCCTGTTTTCCCCCTGCTTTGTGGCTGTGGAAGAAGCAGGCACTTCCGCTAACAGCGCTTTCTCTTTCGTATTGAAGGTACTGGAAGTTGCATACTCGTTATGTCAACTTATGAATTTCGACTGCAGATGAAAATTGATTGCCACCTGAAGGATTTGCGTTCATATTTCCTCTGCTTCCAGCTCTTTCCTGAGGTATTAAATTTGAATTGGTAGTCATACCGTCTCCACACCACATTATGTGGTGTTACAAGTGAAAATATTGTTACTTAGCATGGTATGCTTCCTGTCAGCAGTGCTGCTAAACACAACTTTCTGTCCTTTAGAGAAATGAAATGTGGGCATCGTATTCAGGGAGCAGTGACCTGTATATTTGGAACACCAAAGACTTCACAAGCACGCCCCAAAAAATTCATCTTCAGGATTGCTCTGAGATTACCTGCATGATACAAGTTAAAAACCAGGTGGGAGACATTTGGACTGTTCTTACTCATGGAATTCTTGTGGAAGGGAAGTTTAGGTCCCTTGATATTTAATCTAAAGGCTCCTGCAGCTGAGCTTTGGAAGAAAATGTTAATAGACTAACAATAAATGCCCATCAGCATGCCTAGTTTCGTAGACGACCTTTTTCTTGTTTAGTTACCTCATACACAACTCGACAGAGGCCAATGGAGCTTCCCCCTGAGCTGTTTTGTGTCCCTGTCACTTCTGGCCTCAGGCTGCGTGCCTGCTGTTTGAGTAGTGTCAGTAGCTGTGTGTGTGTCTGTAGTGATACCATATGGACAGGTTTATGTTTAACTCACAAAGAAATGGTTAATAGATACCTACTGGGGGAAAAAAGCTTCCTCTGCTCAGATTTTCCGTACTGCCATCCTCTAAAATGAAGCACTTCATGAAAAAATTCATGAAGCAGGGAAGATTTCTGTGCCCTTGGCTCAGTTTGTGATCCGAAATGAGAAAAGCTAACCTGTAAATTAGAAGCTTGTTTGGAAAGCCGTATCATTAAGGTCTCTTTTGCTCTGCTTTGAACTTTGCTCTTCTCTTTAACTCATTCCTCACTCAACTCCACCTTAACTAACCTTGATATCAAAGAAACAACTGGAAAATATCCCTGCGTGCTCCATCTCCTGACCCTGAGTGTTCAAACACCATCTTCCAGCCTGCCTCTGTTGTCCAAGCTTGTCATTGTGCCTGGAGCACCCACGCTCCTCTTCCTCACAGCTCTGCAGATAAACTCACTCACTCTCCTTGAATCTTGTTGAGGGGTACTAAACAAGAAATAAATGGGTGTATTTCTTCCTCAGTCTCATCTAGTTTGGGACCCAAATTCTGTAAACCTTGAATTTGCTGGTTCAGCAGCTTCCTGGAGCAGCAGGTTCCAGAAGTTCACTGCCAGCTGTATAAAGAGAAGTGCTTTCTTCTGCATGAAACTGAACTCTTTCTAGTTTCCACACGGGGCCCTTACTTCTCTAGTTGTGGGATTTGTTGAAAAATAGTTCTACATTCTTCTTCTACATTCTCATCTGCACTCTTGTGATCTTTTTTTTTTTTTTTTTCAGAAGCCCAGCTGACTTGCTCCCAATAGATCAGATTAAAAAATATTCTGTATTAATGCTCACCACCAGTAAGAATTTCTTCATTTACTCAGTGATTTTATTCCCTGTGATGATCTCTGCTGTCTTTCCAGGGATGGAAGTCAGACTTGTTAGCCTGATTATTTTATTTTTCCTAAGGATGCTCTTCAGGACCCCTTTCTTTGTAGGGAAAACCATGAATCCAATAAATACATATATGGGAGATTCTCAGTGTTCCCTTCTTCCAGCTTAGCAAGACAGAACCCTCACTTTATTCTCTCACTTTATGCAAAACTCCTGTCTCAACTGTGTCCTAGAACAAAATCTATCAAAAAATATTATTCTGTTATATTTTTCTTCCAGATGTGGGTTGGCAGTAGCGGAACATCCCAGGGCAAAACCAAAGGGAAGATCTACGTGGTCAGCACTGAGAAGAAGAGCGTGGAGAAGGAGTTGGTTGGGCACGCCGACACAGTAAAGGCGCTTTGCTCGGCAGAGGACAGATACGTGCCTCAGTGGTGCTGGAAAGGAGGAAGGGAAAATCGCAATCTGGAAGGTCGAGTAGTTCAGCTTTCCAAAATATGGAAATGCAAATTCAGCGTGCCTGCCTGTGCTGGAAGAAGACCTCGGGCTTTGTTTACTGTAGCGTTTTGCATCTATTTCAACCAGCCGTCAGTGTTATTTTTGTATTTATTGAGTTATTTTTTGGAGCTACGTTGTTGTAGAAAATCAGACTAGAAGCGAATCTCACCTTGCACCTTGAATTGCACCTGCACGTTGGGTAAAGAAATGGAAATGTGAATAGCGGGGCCACGGGCTTTCAACTTCCCCTATTTTGGTGTGAAGGATCGGAGCTGGAGGCCGGACCCCGTGGTGTTGGCTGCACTGAGTGAGCCAAAGCTAGCGGAGGATCAGCTTGGTAATTCCACAGGGATGTTTTTTCAGCGATGCATGGATTACCTTAAAAACTCACAAAAAATGGCCTTACAGCCTGTAATAGCTGGAAATGTTCACAGGAGGGAAAAACACAAACAACACAGAACCCAGTCTCTCCAAAAAAAAAAAAAAGCAACAAAACCCCCAAACAAAACACCCAAATGTGTTAATTTGATTTATTGAGTTACTGTAAATGCCCAGTACCTTTCTGAACCAGCAGATTTAGGTGGGAGGGCCGTCTGCTACCGCTGTGTGTATATTTATGGTGCTGTTATTTAAAAGGTAGGTCCAGGCGGCCTCTCCCTGATGGCACTGAAAGCTTCCTGCTGGTAAAGCAAGATACTTGGGTAGTCTCCATAAGGTTTTACTTCTTAAACCTGTTCTTCCTGTAAAACCAATGCAGTTGATACTTGTAACACTTCATGCAACTGTTTTTTTTTCATTTTAAGCACTTAATACATGCAGCAGTTTATTATTAGTAGTTTATTCAAAGAAAGTATATCAGACTTCCTTTTGGAAGCAACCTTTTAGTTGCCTTGCAGACAAATCTCTGCCAGCCCTCTCTTCAGGTCACCCTTTCTGTAAGCAGAGGAGCTGCTGTTATTTAATGGAGAACCTGCTTAGTTTAATGTAATTTTATTTAAGTTCTGCAAAGTCATCAAACTACTCCTTAATTACTGGAGTGGGCACCATCAGATTGCAGTCAAAGGGATTCTTTCAAGCAGCATTCCCTGATCTATTCCTGATTTTTTTTTTTTTCCCCATTGGTAACAAAATCATCTTCAAGTAAAACAAGAAATCTTTGCAGAATAATTTTATTTGTGTCAGTAGAGTGGAAGACAATATTTAAATTATTGTAAATAGAAGGAAAAAATGGGCTGCTACTTTTTTAACAAGTGTAAACTGAAACAGTGAAGTGTAAACTACTGTAGATGTACTTCATGTCATACTTCAGACTCTTTCGATGTACTGACAGTTTCATCATATGATGGCAAATGTAATTTTATCTTTTTAGTTTTTTTTTCAATTTAAGAATATTAAACACTATATTGATACTCTAGACTGTCTTTATGTCTTGTTCTTTCTCCTGCTTAACTTTTTTTTATAAGTATTTAAATTATTGATAAACCCGAAAGTGGTGCTGCACCCTGCCAGCCTGTGTTACAGCCAGCTGCTATTTTTGCTCTCACTTGCCCAGAGAGGCTTTGGCTCCTCTCTGCCTTCAGTTTAACACCAACTAATTGCCTTCTGGAGAGGACATGGAGACCTTCTGAGCTCTAGGACGCCCCTTTGAGGAGCGGAGCTGCAGCAGGGCCCTGTCTGAGCACACTCAGTGGCTCTTTAGCCCCGTGCTGGGGCTGCTCAGCTGTGCCGTGCAGCTTTCAGTTCACCTCTTCCGCCTCTTGGAAAGATTCCTTGTTTTTTTTTGGAAGCCGGCTGCGGTTCAGGGCTAACTTGTGGTCTGTTCCTTCCTGCAGTTGATGATTCAAGCCGAGGGATGGCAGCATCTGCTTCTAGAAGTAACCCACAGGAGCTGCAGCGATGGGAGCTCCGGCTGCGAGCAGGTCAGAGGCCGCGCTGGGGCCGATGAGGTGGGGAGCGCTGGGTGGAGGGGTCCCTGCAGGTCCCTGCCTTTCCCCAGCCCCAGCATTTGGCCCACTTTTTCCTGCTGCAGCCCCTTTAGGGCCAGGTCCAGCAGGGTCTCACACCCCATGAAAGCAGAGGAGAGGCAGCTGTGCAGGTGAAGGAGGGAGGAAGCTGTCCCCTGAGCTGCTTTGCTCTTGTAGCTCTCAATATTGGCCTTTGTTGGCTTCGCAGGTGGCTGCCACCCCTCGCCTCTGCCTGGGAATGCAAAGCTCTGAGAGCAAACAGCAAAAAAAAACAGGTGTGCACCTTGCCCAGGCTGCAGCACGTTGTTCCTCCATGGGTATTCCCTCCCTCAAACATCACAAAACATCACAAAAATACCCCCACCCCTACAAACAACACAGGAACGCGAGCCCCAAACTCTTACTGAAATGTTTATTAAGATCGAACTTCAGAACAACAGATCGGAACACAACGGCTCGTGAAGTAGAATAGCTCTAAATTGATTTTTTGTTGTTGTTGTTTTCTACGCGTAAATGAAAAAAAATAAATCGAGATTATACAAAAAGAACAGAAAGTGCAGAACACAATAAAACAGTTCTCATGCAACAAATCTTTTTTTTTTTTGACCTTAAAACAGAAAATAAGCTCAACAGTGTAGAAATAAAAAACATACATACATTATGCCGTCTATGCACTCAAACATTCATCTGTGACATTACTTTTCTTTATCCCTTTTTCCTCATAAAACTTAACATTATGTGTTTAACACATGCTTATAAACATTGCTAAACTCAGCAAGAGCTATTATAGTGCCCCAACTTAATAAGTTGATAAAAAAGTAGTTGTCATATGGCCAGTTCACAAAGGAACTAAATATTCTCTTTTTATTTTTATTTTTTTTTCCGCTATGAGATGCCTATATGCAGCTTTGTATTAATATGAGGCATTTTAAAGAAGCTGGTCATTTGGCTACCAAAAGGGCTTAGTGTTCATGTTACATCCGAAAGAAAATCATCATCGGGAAGTGCCAATGTGGTAAGAGAGAAGTCTTCCTGGTTTTGGGGCTGTTTACTACAATTTGGCTATCGCTGAGGATTGAATAGGTGTGGGCAATGCCTGGCTGAGCAAGGCAATGCTCCTAGAGCTCCACCCACAACTCCGAAATTTCGGAAATGTCAGACAATTTCAGAACGTGGTAGAATATGTCAAAATGAACCCATGTCCGGGCTTTTCTGTAAAGCTTTAGCAGGTCGTAACTGTGCCAAAAGCCTTTAAATTTGAGAAGAAAAATGAATTTGAGAAGAAATTTGAAAACATTCTCTTTTTTTTGGGGTGTAAATGCTTGCCACTAAACTACTGTAATTTCGGTCAATGTCGGAGTGCCCGTGTTTCCCTGTGCGAGGCTGAAAGCCTGAGCCCCTTGGTTATTATGAAACACCCTTTCTAACTGGCCAGGCTGCTGAAACCAAAGAGGCTGCTGCAGCTCGCCTCTTGTTCTGGATGCAACATGAGAAACAGAAAACTTTGGGTAGCTCCCCTGGTTTTAAAATGACCACTTTTTCAACGCGCTTTACAAACGTTCAGCTTTGTCGCTTAAGAATAACAGCTAGAGAACTCTCTGTAACCATAAAAGTTTCTGCAAAGAAAAATAAAGTTTGGTATTTCTTCTACACAGTCATTAACAACATTTCTGTGCAACATTTGGTGTTCATTAACATTTATTTGGCCTATGAAAAGGAAACGAGGACAAAACAGCTGCAAAGAAAACCGACTTCTCTTTCACAATAGATACTTCAGATGCCGAAGCTGCTACATGTGCTTGGAGTATCATGCAGGAGTTTACTTAGTGATTTAAATAAGGTCTATACGTGTAGCCGAGCTCGTCGCGCAGCGGGCTAGGACGAGGGAAAAGCTGGAAGAACTCAGTTGAAAACCTTGCTGAGTACAGTCGCCTTGGGCTCCCAAGGCGAGGGGAAAAGGACAGCGCGTGTTTCAGGGAGCGCTAACCTCTGCTGGATTTACTGGCTTCCTCCCTCCCGATGATGAACAACCCGCAGCTTTCGGTGCCTGCTTACTGCCAGCTGCTCTGAAACGACCGGAGTCGTGTTCCGAAAAGGCTATGTAGGTAATAAATCTCTATGACCGTCGTCTAACCAGCAGGAAGGGAAACATTCCTAAGAAATTATTGCTTCTGGAATCTCAAATTGCCAGCCGCAAGCGGTTCAGACCTGACTGGGCTCTTGCGATAACCCAGCAGTGCAAAATCCTTACTACGCCTTGCTGAGCGCATCGCTTGGAGCTTCTCTGCCTCCCTGTGGCTATTCCTACCCACGCGCAGCTCACCGACCACAAAGTCCTCACGAAAACACTCAAGAAACTGAGCACTGACGGTGCCTGATGCAGAGGTGCTGGAGGTCAGAAAGGCCGCAGCAAAACATTAAAATTGTTTACAGTATAGAACGACTCGGAATGAAACCACTGCGCCTCAAGACGACTGCATGAAGGTCCCAGGACACGGAGCACGCAGGATGAGCTCGTACAGTAATACCAGCAAACAAAAATGACACTTACTATCACCAGGAATAAAAAACAAAGCCCCCTCAACTCTCTCTTCTGTAATAAAGACATAAAATCATACTCGTTTAGCTTTGAATTGTGACAAAACCCATCTTTTCTGTATCAAAATAAAGGTAAGGGACACATCTAAACACAAATGAGTGCCCACTCTACCCTGAGCAGTGCCGGGGCTAAGAAAACTCTCAGAAATTCCAGAAAAAAGCATTTATCTCTCTGACAGACGTCAGAAACCATCACTGGCGAGCGCACTGGAAGTCAGCGCGGTGGTTTCACGGGCTGGCCGAGGTACAGGAGGAGATACTTTGGCAGGGGCTGCCCCCAGTTAATTCTTCTGGCAACACTACAAATACTTCAGCCTGTTTACAATGGGTAATTATTTCCTTTGGCTTTAGAGGGCAGTGAAATAGAGCTTCCTGCTCCAAGGCGGTGTGCGTACTTTCTGCGTCGTGAAGGGTAATTAAAGAACCCCATAGCCAATCCCAAATCTGGCTTTTAACATCCAATTCTTTGAAACGAGGCTCAGCAAAACGCTGCCTGGGACAAAGCTGGCCCTGCTCTGCCTGCGACTGAACCCCCCTGGGCTGGAAATGTCGTTCTCCCTCCTCACCGCTCGCCCCGGCCGAGAAAGCTAAATAAAAGAGCGTGACCTCAACCCCAAAACTGTTTTGCGTTCCCTGTGCAAGAAATCTTGGCTTACAAAGGCGCTGCCTGGAGCAACGCCTGGGCTGAAGCTACATTCACAATTACCGAAACCACGACCGGGGGGAAAACGGGGGAAGGCTGGCGCTGACCAGAAGATTTTCAGCAGGTTTTCAAAGTGTAGAAGAACCTTTTGAGAAGTAGAGACTGAAATAAGGAGCGTTCGACAGTGTTCGTTGAACCGAAAGCAGAATCTTCAAGGAGTTTTCAAAATAAAATATTAAAGCCGCTTTAGAACGTCTAACTCAGTTTGTATTTTACATGAATGCCAGTTATAGGGTGAAATACAACGCGCAGCTCTGTTAGATAGGAATATCACCAGAATATATTAAATGTAACTGAGATGATCAAATTCACGGCAGAAGGTCAGTTAAAGCGTTTCTCGCAACTGATTGCTTCAGTAAGGTCTCGTGTTTTTCAGTAGTACTACTCCCCTGTCCGAACACAGTTCACAGTATGTGTCCTAAATAAAAAAAAAAATCACCTTAAAGAAAAAAAAAAGACTTTTTTGAGACATTTGAGAAAAAAAATAATAAAAGTCTTGTGCGATTACACGACATCGTCACCCTTGCCAGCATAAAGACGTCGGCACCAACCGAAAGCCTTCAGCTGGAAACCACACCAGGAATTCGTTGGTGATGCCAGCTGAGACCGCACGTCGACTTTGAAGATACCAAAAGAAACATTTCTTAAATACATCGACAATTCAAGTAATTTGTTAAAAACTGCTTCTCATTTGGAAATATATATATATAGATTTTTTCTTTTTCTTTTGACTGACTATATTGCAGCATGATTTCCACATGCAGGTTTAAAGGACTGTAGTAGAAGAAGTTTGAGGCAGCAGGAATCTCACGAGGAGCTGTGTGAGTCGGCTGCTTAGCCCACGGATGGGCTGCAGCCTGTAGGTCCACGCGAAAATGGGTCAATAGCATCACAAACGCTTCTCAGAAGACGACGGGTGGAAGTTGGGGTCCTGAAGTTGCTTTAAACGGCTGCCGGATCTCTGAGCTTCGTCTGCCCATGGACTGGGGAACTGCCAGCGATCCCGATCAGGTTTTAAATCGGATTAGCACAGCTCTTTGAAGCTCTTCACAGCAAATGTCTTTGCACTGTGGCTATGTCCTGAATCAAGGAAGGGGGCACAGAGGTTGTGCTGATGGAATTGGACCAGCCTACATGTCCTCCGACACACGGCCTGGAACAGCAACACACGCTAGTGGGTTGGATTTTAAGGCCTAAAAACTGTTTCCGACACGGATTTTTACACAACCAGATGATGCCACAAAGTCACAGAGGTAGGCCTGACACTGTGCCCTTCCCCTGGCTGCTGCCTTCCCAGCCGAGGGGTTAAAGGATCAGAAAAAGTGCAATTAAGCAACAGCTTTCCTTTCCCCACGGGTGACGACTCGCACACCCCATCCCACCAAGCTGACCCCACAGACAACCCTTCCCCATGGCAGCTTCATCCAGAGATGATTGGGTTTAAACGCCGAGAACACCCCAGAGCTCATGGGCACACGAAACTCCCAGCAAGAAATTGTCACAGCGTTATTTCCAAAGACATTCACAAAGCTCAGCACTCGTGACAAAAACCTGCGAGTGCCGACCGCCTCTCCCAGCCGCTGCTCCTTCCACCTCTGGTTCACATCACGCACCCAACGCCACCCGCCTGGGCCAAGCAGCAGACGTGGGAGCAGCTGGTGGACAGTATGACCAAAAGGACTCGCAGCAGTTTCTTAGAAACCGCAGCAATTGCTTCTTTTTTTTTTTTGTGAAAATAAAACTATTCTGTAGTAATTGCACGAACGAAAATACAAAATCTAAAATTCATGTTAAAGAACTGTAGCTGTCAGACCAATAACACGCTCCTGAAAAAAATAACAACTGGTCAAGGTGTCAAAGCGTTGGATTCAGCTACTGCATTAGTGAAATCTGAAATGTTCAGACAAAAAAAAATGGCAAGAGACTAGAAGTCGAGATAGCTTCCATTTTGAGTTAGTTTTAAAACAGCCGAAAACTTATTTTTTCTAACTGCTAATTGTATACACTGTGAGTCTCATGCAGATTAATAAAACTTATTTGAAATCTAAATGTATTCGCAATAAAAAAGTGTTCAGAAATGACATTTCTAAGTTGTAGAGAAAGCAATTAGCATCATAGCTACCTGTTCAAACCTAGAGTAAGGACTACAGAATTTCATTTACATTTTTGCATGAAACTGCCTGTTCTTCTGCAATTTTAGCTACAAGTAGTGAAGATCCTAATTCGTTTTCCTGGAAAAAAAAAAAAAAAGAAAAGAAAGTTCTTGATCCTGCACCTGCACTCCCTGGAATGTGGTGAAGCCTCACACGGCTGACTCGCCCTCCAGCTCCGACGCGGCGGTGCCCTTGCGCGTGAGCTTCAGCACTGTCGGCTTCTCCGCGCTCGTGCTGCTGCCCTCGGTGGTCTCTGGAGGACCCAGTCCTTTCTGCTCTTCCTTCGGCTCTTCGTTGACCTCGGGGTATATCACCAAGAAGGTGGCTGTCAAAAAGCCCAGGAAGGATCCCACCGAAGCCACCATGGGAATGACTCTGACAGTGCCAACCACGTCCACCACGCCGCCGAGGGCGGAGGCCACGAGGATCTGGGAGATGTAAACCTGACACGACAGAATCGCACAGTCGATGCCGAATCCTCGCTTGGAATTCCCGGGGCTGTGGTGAATGTACTGGGAAGAGACAAGAAACGTGTTAGGAGGCAAAGCAAAGCAGGAAAGCAAACATTTAGATGGGTATTTTCCTCAATATCTCAGCCACGTGGTCAATTTTATGCCATGTCCAAAGCAACAAACTCCTTATCTCCTTATCAAAGCCTCCTCACCTTACCCCGAGGTAGATATTTACCTAGCATGACTTTGGCCCCAGGATTAGGTTTCATAAAAATATTGACACGGAACCATTGGTGAAAATTATTTCTGTGATTTTAAACAGGGATCTCCCTTCCAGTCCCAGCACAGAAACGTGTTATGATAAATAAACCTCGTGTCATCTGTAAGCCAAACGTCACAGTGCTAAAAACTGGGCAGGAAAGCTGTCCTCATTGCCAGCAGCATCAGGTTGCCTTACATCTCCTCAAATCCTGAGCTGCAGGTCCAGGCTCACCTCAAGATCTAAGGCTGCCAAGAACCTAACTAATGCTACCATAACAGTGGCAACCACCATGTAGATAATAAGTACTCTAATCATTATTTCCTCTCTCTTTATCTACCACATGCATGCAAATCATTTCATATCTCTGCACAGAGATATGCAATCCTTTCATATAACTGCACAGAATTGTAGGGGTTGGAAGGGACCTCAAGAGATCATTGGGTCCAACCCCCATGCCAAAGCAGGTTCCCTAGAGCAGATAAATGCTCTGCCTTGATCAAAGTACTCCACGTACCTCTTTAATATCGTGGTATTGTCCCAGAAGCGCGTAGGGGCAGTAGGAGATGCTCATGGAGACTATTCCCATCGTGCTGATCATGATCATGGTGACGTACACGTTGGGAAACATCGCCATCACTGCAGTGCCCAGAGAAAAACCCAGTGTGCCCAGGATGTAGATCACCTTTATGCTAAGGTCGTAGTTGTCCAAGTATTTCTGCAACAAGGCTGCAACAGATCAAGAATAAAACAAACACCAGCTTATTTGGTGAGCTTTTATGGTATTGACATGGCCGTGGCAGCTCGATATGCTTTTTAGGATTTGGATGCTCACTGCATATTTGGCAAGGCTTAGCAGCACTGCTCAGCCCTCGCTGGAAAAAGGACGTATTGCTGCTTCAGAGAGGAACTAATGAGCTCAGGGACTTGCCTACAGCCCTGCTACGAGCCTGCAGCACAATTCAATAACGTGAAACTCAATCAGCCCACTCAGTGGAAGTCCATTCATTGTTATCTATTTATTAAACGTCATCGATGCGGCTGTACTCTGAGCACAGAGCTCTTTCTAATGCAAACGCATTTGCTAGATGAAATGATCAGATGATTGAAGTTTTCAGCCATATTTCAGTTTGTGTAAAACCTTCATTTTAAAACAGTCTTTGGAAAACCCTTTTTATACGTTCTTGAATCTTCTAACAAGCAAAATTTTAGTTTCCTGATGAGTAGCTAAATGCCATTTAAAAATGGAATCATTTTGTGCTTGATGCCATTTAACTCATCTATTCATATTTCTACCTCTATATTTTTAGGATTTTTTTTTAAATCTCTCTCTTTATGACCACCCAAAGTGCTTTTCAGAAGTATTTTTCACTCCAAAAGAGGGGGTAGATGCTAACTGAAGCGAAACCATTTTTATCTTGCAGTGCATCGATGAGGTGCGTTCCAGTGTCTGGCTGTGCAGTCTCTTACCTGAACAAACGGCAGCAGTAGCAGCATAAATCACCAGCCCCCAGCATCCCATCTGAACCCCCGCATTGTAGGCATGTAACTCCGTTGAATTGGAAGGGGCCTGTGCCAAAACGCAAAGAGAAAGACATTTGGTGAGCACACCTCAGAAACAAAACAAGCAGCTCCAAGCGGGTCTGCACATGGGAACTCCTCTCTTACCTTTGGATCGCCCTGAAAAATGACCTGGCCCATGAAATCCGTGTAGAACACAGCTTCAGCAATGATCGAGAACCACGTTAAGAGGTGACAAACGCACAGTCTCAGCAGCTCCTTTGGCATCTTCAGCATCGACAACCACAAGAGCCTGACGGTGGTTTCGGTTTCCCCTTCCTCGCTCTCGGTGTCTCCGCTCGAGTTCGTCGCGCCGCTCTGGTTCCTGTGCCGGTAGCGCTGTCGCTGCCGCTTCTGCATGTCGTAGATGTCGTTCATGCTGCGCGAGGACTTGATCAAGACGATGGCGTTGGCTCGGCGGAAGCGGTAGCGGTGCGAGCCGATTTTGCCGTAGTAGGAGAAGGTGTAGGAGGGCTGCCGGTAGAACATGTGCCTCCGCCTCCGCATGGAGTTGGAAGTGCTGGACTGCTTCATGCCTATTCGAGCGTGGCCGTTGAGGAAGTCTTTCCGCAGGGAGCCGTTCGCGTTCGGGACTTTGTCTTCGTTCAAGCGGTTATCAAGCAACATCTCCTCCTCCTTCTCGTTGTCCCTGAGGAAAGGAGCGAGGTGGTTCAGTTTGGACTTCATCATCTCCTGGCTGGTGTTGTGGGGGGTGTTTGGATACGAAGCGTCCTGAAAAATTGAGGGCTCGATGTCATGCAAGAAAAGCAGCTCCGATTCGATTTCCAAGGTGGCGTCGGGCATGTGCAGAACGGAGTCGCTCTTACTCCTCACGATGTTCACCTCCAGGAACTCCATGTTGAGATCATGCTCAGACTGCACCTCGTCGTGGAACATCGAGGCTCCGTACGGCTCCTCCTCACTGATCACGTTCAGCCGATTCAGAGGGGGGAGGCTGCCGCTGAATTTGACACTCGAGAGGGTGTCTCCTTCGTCATCCATCCTGTCCTGCTGAGGGTTATATTGCTCTTCTTCGATGCTAAAAAGGTGGAGAGCAACAGAGACTGAGAAAATAATGGCTGCGAAGAAGAAAAGGACTTGCTCTTGAGATTTAAAAATAACACCCAAGAAGGTCTGCGTCCAGTCCAGCCCTCCCAACATATAACCGATTGCTCCTCCGAGACCTGTGGAAGAGAAAACGGAGGTATGTTAATAAGCACTGCCAAAAAAGCACATTAAACCTGACATATGAGTTGCTTACATCAGAAAACTTCAACAAAATTTAAATGAAATGAGTTTTAAATGAGTTTAAATGAGTTTTTGGCTCACAATGTGAGGAAATATCAGATAGGGCCATTTCTTTGGTAAAAGCCTTCTTTGGGACACATGGATATGTTCTAGCTCTGGACAACCCGAGGGCTGCAGGACTAATTGCTGCTGCCCTTACAGTTCCCATGCATCCATAAAGACAAGGAGGAGTAAATAAACAAGATGTGTTTGTGCAAAGCTCTTTTTTGGGGCTGCACAGCTGCTACTGTATGGGATAAAGGCTGTTGCTCCCTTAGCCTCAGAAGGGATGGAGCGCCCGAAAGGTGCATGTTTGGGGAAAAGTGGTAAATAAAGGAAGGACTGCAAGTGTTTGGAGGATACATGTTTGGATTCATGTCTTAAAATGAGTGTATACTGCAGCTGAAAGGTGCAGCAGTAACTCTGCTCCTCAGTCTGTAGGTCACTGCCCTTTTTTCACACAGGTCTACAAGGTTCATTACCAAGTATGGCACTTGGGGAAAAAGAACATAAACCTACGTTCAAGTAACAGACTCGCTGCAGTTTGCTACTGTTCAGTTTTGTCTATTCAGCAGATAGCACCAAATGCTGAAAGCCCTCATTTTAACCAAGTGGTTTAAAAATTTTATAATGCTAACCAGCAACTTGTTGCTTTATGCCACTGGGTAAGTGCACTTTGCATTTGTATTTCATACTCTGAAAGTAGTTTTTCTATTCTCTGCTGAGGTATTTCATCCAAGACAGCTGCACTGTGAGCTTCAGTACTAGTAAGGAAACGGCAGGGGGAAAGGATGAAAAAAACAGCAGTCAACCCAGGAAAAATCAATTCAGCCAAAACTCGGTCATCAGAAGAGCTGACAGCTGCCAAGACATGACCTAGCCACGTACCAGCTGAAAAGGCGTGGATGTTAAGGGCCATATCTTGCTCTTCGCTGTCCACCACATCCAACAGGTACGCCCGAATTGGCCCTTCCGTTGCGTCGGCGCAGAAGTCCAGCACCACAACGCCAAGCACCGTGAGAACTATACCGATGGGCTGCTTGTCCGGGACGTCGCCAATAGCCAGACCTGAGGGAGAACAGGAGAGGAATCTGAGCACGTCAGCCCAAAAGCAAGCACTATGAAGAGCAAGGTTAATTTTAAGAGAAAGGTGGCCAGCACACTTACTGGAAACATTCCTTTGCAGAACAAATTGGCAATTTTAACTCTCTGGCACAGCCTGATGGAAGGTCTGGGGCAGAAGATTATGTTTTTACACTTGGAAGGCTGACATTTATTTTTCAAAATGCTATTTTTAAAGTGTCTCTTGACGCACTGCTAGCACTGGAGATTATTTTGCATTCTTCATGTATTTTCCTCCAAATGCTGAAGGCTGCTCTTATAAAAGAGACAGCCACGGTGAGAGAGGAGAGCATCCAAAAGCAGAATGACAAACTTCATCTATTGCCCGAGAATTTTTCATAAAACTAATCATTGACAAAGGCGTGAATTACTTGAATCAGAGAGATTTAGTTGTTAGACATGCAAGAATGATAAAAATATTACTGTAACTGATGATGATGACTGAGTAAAGAGATGAGCTGGCTACGGAAGAGGTCTGGAGAAGACCTTGGGACGTGGCTCACTTCTGCTGAGTTTGCTCCAGGCTCCCTTGGGAGAGGCACAGCAGTGTTCCCAGTGCTTTTCAGAAGGAGTTATTCTTTCAAAACCTGCCACAACAGCATCCCAGGAAGGGATGCCTAATGAACACGGATCGCTTTTGCAATGCTCTGCAACAACCTCTGTGTTTAAAGAAGTTTCATGGAGCAAAAGCAGCTCTGAGTATCTGAAACACGTGGGGTTTCTAGAGAGCTATGCCATAAACTGCACTGCTGTGTAAGGAAGAAGAGGAGAAAAATCAATTGTGCTGATTTATTAGAAGGTGAGATACTTCAAAATGAACCTATCAAAGCTTTGCTTGCCAGTATCAATGGCTTCTTCCCTAAGCCAAGGTGAGAAATAAGAGCTCCTTGTCAATTAAAATCTTGCAGTAGGGCTGCAGTCCAGTATTTTGCCTACACCTGGAGCTGGAGGAGTAAGTCTTGGTGACACAACAACGAAGCGCAAGTGGTACCATACGAGAGCAATTCCAATAATTGATATTTCTTGGGTAAATTCAAAAAACCATAAGCTAGACCTTGTTCATCTGCACTTTGCAGAGAAACGAAAAGCTTCCTATGGCAATCCAATCTGGCTTTGAAAAGCTAACGTGCTGAGCCAAGGCAGTGTTCCGCTCACTTCCCTCAATTAGTACAACTTTTTCACAATAGAGCTGTACCTAACTCCCCCAAAAGAGAGCCAAGAGGATATTATTAGGTGTTAAGTTCCTTTCATTTGCATCACAATGTAAACATTTCCCAAATGTACTCGTGTCACCTCTCTTACACTAAATTTACAAAAGAGCCTTAGATTGGAGATTAAGTTCTGTAGTAAACTATGTTCAAGGAGAACTATTTTTACCAGCTTTGATGGGGGCTCAGGAAAAATTGTTTTCCCACATCGCTTTTGATAAACAAATATTAACTGTGCTCTGGCCTTTTTCAATACCGGCTCTAAGAAAAGCACAAGAAAAAGTGAAAAGATAATTTCTGAAATAATGCTGGAAACAGGATGTGTTGCCAGATATGCATTAAAGGGAAAACGGATCACAACAGGAAACATTTCCCTGTGAACAGGTTGCTACAGTTTTCCCATGTCAAGGATCGCCGAAATTCACCTCGGCGACGGCAAACATTCTGCTGGCAGCCGCTGCGTGAGTAACTCTGCAGCGACCCTGACAGCTCCCGTTGCAAAACACTCAGCACAGCACTCGGATTTTGGGGTAGGAATGAAAATATTTAGGGCGGACAGCTCAAGTGTGGTGTTGCAGAGGTTTCTGACGACTTTAGCACCAAATTATTCGACTGCTTGTCGTTATGGTTAACTTCTTACATAAAAATCTGAAGGTAGGGATGTGTGCAGGTGGTTTCCCCGTTACTTACCTATAACAGAGCCGTTGAGGAAAAGTGCAACTCCAAAGAGGACACCAATGGAGAGAGCGAGGATAAAAGGCCGCCGGCGGCCCCAGCTCAGCGTGCAGCGGTCACTGGCTGAGCCTATAAGCGGAGTGAAGATTAAGCCCAGGATGGGGCTCAGGAACCAAGTGAGGCTGTAGTATTGCTCAGGAAGACCTGGAACAAAGACAAAAAAGGATGGCAAGGTTACATGGGATGCAGCAAACAGTTGACCTCAGTGCAGGGCATTTCATTCAGCTTTGGAAAATCATTAATTGATCTTTGGTTTACTTACGTTTGCTCCTCGATGCACGACTCCGGCCAGATTTCTTAACAATGGTTAAAAAACACAACATGAAGTATATTTAAGCAATTGAAATAAAAGTTTAAAATAAAAAGGGTGGGGGGACTAATCAGGCTCGATCACACCCGGTTTGAACCCCTGCCCCCAAATCCCACTTTTGCTGAATTTTGCTGAACCTGCTGATTTTTTTTGTCAGGGATTTTAGCAGGGAGTGCCTCTGTAAAGGAGCAGCAGCCAAGATTTGCCATGTAGAAGCCCGATCACTTTGCTCCGTCCTCAGTCCATCCATGGATGATAAAAGCAGAGATTTTTGGGATGCTTGGAAGCGAGCTGCTGGTCGTACATCTCGTACACGTTTCTATCTCACCAGGGCTTCTAATGTCCAGCAGCAGCCAAACATCACAGCAGCACTGCACATCTAAGACCAATGCCTTAGAGAATTATTAAAGACTGAATGGGCTGAGGATGATGGGCAGAATTTGGCTGTCATGAGAAATTTCCCATTTTTAAGGAAATTTTTAAATGTTTGTTTATGATGGGATTGATCAATGGACAATGGAAGGAGAAATAATTATTCCTTAAAATGCAGGGAGCAGCTGAAGAAGCTTGGTTGTCTCTAAAATCCCTGCTTTTTGTTTTCCAGAACTGAGGGGATTACTGAGAGCATCAGATGGAAACAGACTGGACTTACCATGCAATATTTACCTAGGGAAAAAAAATAACATTATAAATAAGTTTTGGAGGGGGAGAGGTGTGTGGGAGGAGAAGGAAACCCAAAAGCTCTTTTTTACACCTCTCTCCAATGGCCTGCAGATGGCAGACTGGCCCAGGAGAGCTGTGCTTGGTTTTTTTTTTTTGCCATCTGTCCCCGTCTGAGCTTCTCAGCACGGGTCAGGTAACCCCTCCGACATGCACTGCAAGCAAAACAATCAATCGCTGGCAGCCCAAGACCAACAAGCTCGGTGTCTCGATCCTCCGAAGGAAAATCATTCATAATTGAGAGCCAGACGCTGTGTGAGCAGTGTCTGACCTTCGCTGGAGGCTTCGACCTGCCCCTCGTGCTCCGTTCTGCATCCTCAGGCACCTGCTGCCAGCGGGATTACACCAATCCCCCTCCGGAATAGCCCAGGCTGCAAGGTTGGAAGTCTAATCTCCTGTTATTTAAAGTGCCATCAAATCCCGACTAACGATGCTGGTAACTTCCCCCGCTAGGTACAGCAGGTTTTCCCACCATTCTGGTGATACTGGTACTTATATTACAGGAAAAAAGCCATTTCTTTTGCCCACAAGGTACCATAAAAACACGATTTCACCATCAGGATCCAGAACTGAGGTCTGAAAGCAGGGGCTGTGTGCTAAGCAGAGAAAATCTTCCCTTCCCTGGGATTTTAGTTGGGCAGCGTGTGTTTAACCAGCACCTCGCCTGCTCCAGGGTGCTCAGGGCACGCAAAGCTAAATGCTGAGCAGGCTGTGATTTTTTTAGGGTGAAAAAAAAAAAAAAGCAACACACAACTCAGCAGCTGGCATAAGAATGGCCCAAGATTATCAAAACCCAGGGATTTTTACTGCTAGCGTTACCCTGACTTCAGTACTTCCGAGGTCAACTGTACATGTAATAACTCCAAAGCAGCTTAAAGCCTGCGTTCTGATTTTACAGAGCAGTAAATAAAAGGAAAAAAGGGCTTTTACCCAACCTCTGTTACAGGCCGAAATGTGGAGACTCATCGTAGCCTCGATGAGTCAGGGCAGAGAGACTCAAGTGCTTTCTTGAGAAGGCTTCATCTTCGCTGATGGAAAAGGGTGATCTTCCTAGCATCTGTTATAAATACGAGCCTAAATCCAAATATTTGCACTGAAAATGGCTCGCAGAAGATGCAGATCTCAAGGATTTCAAAATTGAGCAAGGGACGGACAGTAGCTTTTATGGAGGGAAATAAAAAAGGACGCTTACCCGAGCACGTAATGTTTGGAGATCCTGCTTTAGACAAACCGCTTTGGGTTTGTTTATTGAACTACTCTTTAGCAGCCAAGACGTCTATTTTTGGACAAAGGGGCTGTGATAAAAATCTCTAGAAGAACCATTAGCCCCGAAGCAAGCAGAATTCCAAAAATTCTGTCTTGCAGGAGCTTTCCCTGCTCCTCCAAATAAACAGGAAAGGGCTAACTTTTCACGGAGAACAGTTCCCACTGGTTGTGCACTGAATTCTCAGGACCATTTTTCCCTTTTCTCTTGCCTGATTTTCTCAAGACTCTTCTCTCCGTATAGATTTAGGTGTTGCCTCTGATGTCTGCGCTCTGGTGATGGGAAATCATCCTTTGTAGGGCTCACAGAGTCCTACCTACCATGGGTCCTCCAGGAAAGAGCTTTCTGAAGCAGTCTCACCATGATGTGAGACTTCAAAACATACCTTAGAGATCAAATCCTACTGGTGGTGTCTCCAGCACCGTCATCATTTCAGCAGTAGGGTTACGTTAGTGCTGGACGTTTTGATATAAATGACAAGGTTCCAGACAGACAAGGAGAAATCCAAAGCCAAAACACTTCCCTTAAAAGAGGTTTTAGTACCTTCAATGCCTACGTGCATCGCTAGGATATTTAGGTTGGTGTCCGTGATTTGGCAGCAGAAATGAAATAAATACGGGGGACTGGACATGGAAATATTTAAATATAAATATATAACGAATGTTTTCTGAAAGTTTGCAGCCTCACAAGAAGGAGCTCTACCAAACTTTAGAGAAATTGTGTCCATGAAGGGCGCTGGGCAGCTGAGGAAGGGAATTACACATCCTAATGGTTCCTTTCTCCGTGTATGTATGTGCGATACCTTCCTACACAACTTGACCGTTTCATACGATATTTTTAAGTTGGAAACCAGTTAAGAAGGCATCCAAGACGACGAGCTGAAATGAAGACATAAAGGGAACACTTTAACACCAAGAAGTTCCTCCTGATGCCCCACCTAGCGGCAGGGATTCCAGCGCAGCACGGATTTAAATAACCCTTGGCCGCGGTGCCGTGCCAGGAGGCAGCATCCAGCCTCTGATGCTGCACCACAGCTGTGCAGACACTGGTTTGGATGAGATTTCAAGGCCCAGCAGGCTTGACATCGACATCACGGCCTCGCCACAGCCAAATGTAAAACATCCCAGCCGCTGGCAGCTGCTGTACCCACCTGGAACAGGCTCTCACCGGGCTGGGGCCGATTTTGGATGGCTGAGGGAAGAATCCCGCAGCCAACGCTTTTAGCAGAGGCTCACAGGAGGACTCGAAGGCCAGAGCAGCTGCATCCCATTCCCAGTGCCATGCTGTTCCTTTATTTTGCCTGGAATTTTCCACCGATGCGCTCTCCCTGCCAGGTAGCAGCTCGCCCATGCGCCAGCTTGGAAAAGGAGCGACACGGGGAGGTGGGGGGGGAAAGGGGGGAGGAATAATAACCAGCAGGATTATTATTTAGCTTTTTACTGATAGCTATAATCTGAGGAAACACCGAGGAGGGAAAAAGCAGATTGGATAAACAAGGGTAGCATTTGTGTCGTGAACTGGATCCGGAGCAGGTCACAAGTCGGCCTCCGAAGTCTGAGAGAAATCAGTGAGAAAAAGGGCAAACCACAACAACAGCTTCTGTTAGCAGCGCCGACAGCCACTGAGACCCTCGTAATGTGGCATTTCCCAGCCAGCTACAAACAAACAGGACACTGGCTTCTAGTAAATAAGGGTTTGTTTTTTCCCAGACACAAAAAAAAGTGCCCAACAATAGTGGGACCAGCACCGCTCGCGGTTCACAGGAAATGCTCACTGTGTCACCAGCGGGCTGAGGGCTGCGTGAGGTCACGGGCTCCGTGGAAGAAAGATTAAGTCCCATGCAGCGCCTTCTATTCAAAACCTCGTTTTGATAAGGTCTATTGGGGGAAAAATAGGTCTTTATAAGCTTAACAATACGATCTGATATGGGAATCGGATGCGGAGCGCCTGGTTTCGTTCCTCAGAAATCATCACCTAGAGACTTGTTTACGCACCGAATGCGAGCGCCGTCCAAGTTTCTGGGCTACCACGAGAAGCTGTCGGGCCCTGCACGTAAATACTTTGTGTGCTGCAGCTTCATCCCCCCGGAAAACACGGCGTGCTGCTAAAAATACCGTGCATCGATCTGTTTGAAATGCATTCCCTCCGCAAGCCGCTCTGTTTCGGCTGCGTTTTTAAAGCACGCAGCCAGCCAGGATCAATACTTGTCAAAAAAGCTGTGAAAGAGTCGGAGCCTCGGTATCTGCTCTTTGTCTTGTCACAGCAGATTTGGAGAAAACAGAGCAAACTCAGGCATTTTGGAGAATCTAGACGAGGGGTTTCGGAATAGGGCTGCGAGCATTTCAGAAAGGCAAGCTGACGTCTGCTCCCTCGCCTCTAAAATACAAACACTGAGCTTGGATCCCCCTGAGAAACTGAAACAAGCTGTTAAGAAGGAACTGCTTTGAAAAGCTCCTTGCGATCACAGCCTGATGTTGTATGAGATAGGAAAGCCCCCGGTTTGCACCCCTGATGTCTCGGTGTCTTGTGCCCTGAGCGAGCTGCCAGCAGAGCAAAATTACAGTGGGCAGTGTGTGCAGCCACAGGGCTCGCTTCAACTTCCACGTGCAGGTGGAAGAGCTCAGAAAAAAGCTGCCACCACGAGCTTTTTAATTGCTGTTTGCTTTCTCCACCAAGATCCCAGCCTATATCGAGCTGTCAGGCAGCTTGTGTTTGCTCAGGGTCTCTGAAATGACCCGCGGCGATAAGAGGAACAGTAAAACAGGAAGGGTATCGAAACCGTGGCGTAGATCTTCCCCCTGGTAAGGTTTCCATCCCGAAATTCTTCTTGGGGCTGCCCAACGCGAGCCT